GTATATATACGTATCTTCCGTTAAATTTACAGAATAATTAATTTAAATGCAGATGAGGTGCGTTGCGCTGAGGTGTGAGAAAGGCCTAAAATGGGAACGAGAGGTGACCGATTTTTGCAGAACAAATAAAGGTTAATGGATGATGTCTTGTTAAAGAGAAAGTACTCTCTTTTAGTCCGACCGAATTGTAATCGCCTGAGGCGATCGATCAGTGAAAGTACGCCGTGTATAATCATCGACGTGTTCCTCGACGGCAAAGAAAATCACGAGTTCAAAGTAACAAAGTAACAAATAAAATCAGGTATCGCAATAAAACAAAGTCGCAAAACGCGACATTAAGAAAAATTGATTACTTGATTAGAGATCTCGCTTTCTTCAAAAACGACATACGTTCAAAGTTAACAAAAAAATCATCTTTGAATTTTCATGATTATCAATTTTAGTCCAATAAACATTAACACACGTGAATTCTCGTTCGCGTAAAAGATTGCAAAACTCAAGCGGCATCAGGTTGAGATACGACGGGTTAGCGAGAGACAAACGCGCTAGAAACCCATTTGTATAAACTGCACTTTACGACAGCAATGTTTCACGTTTCACGTTTCGCGTCACGTTCCGCGTTGTCCGCAATCCAATTCAAGTGCGATTTAATGCCGCGGAAAAATTTCCGGCATACCGAGTGTCAGAGAATGACGCGTAGTCACGAAGTATTATCAATCGATCGACTGTTAGATCACCGTCTTTAAACTCTTAATAGCAACGATATTGAATTACATAGTGCGTTTTTATCATCATGATGTCATAGGAAAAAATTCTGGACACGAAAAAATATCTACACGCGACAAACAGAAATTAGCCAATTACACATTCTAATAACGATCGATTTCAATTATCTCAGACTATTAGTGATGAATTATTTCTTCTGGACAAATAGAAAATAATGTTATTTGTTAAACAATTAGCGATTAAGAAATGTAAATAGATAACGAAATTTATACTGAATCATCTGTTATCATTCCAGATACTGTTTTAAATGTTTCTTATCCTGAGAATAAAATTCCTCATCAACTCAACTCGAGATTAAAAATCTTTTATATAAAGATTATAATATTCTTGCCTATATATTCGTCTCGATTTAAGATTAATTTTTTTCTGTGTAATTATATTAACTTACTTAATTTTCTTATCAAAGTACACAGTAGTTGGCTTATAATTCCACTAAACCATAGATTCATTTACCTATTGTAATTGAATCCACAAATTTCCATTTCATTTTAAAAATTGATGAAATTAATATATGTAATAACAAAGTATTAAAATTTAAAATTAACAATGCATAAAATCGTTTACTGTTATAATTTAATTTATTATTTCATTTGACATTTCTAATAATCATTCGTTTAATTTAATTTTAGGTAAGGAATATTTGCATTCCTTTTATCGATATATTTCAAATTAATTTTTTTAATTTTTTTCTTCCACCATTGGTTTTCATAAGTCGACCAGAGAGAGATTCATACGTATCGCCCCTTCTCGTGGAACGAGCGATGGATTTTCTCCGCTCGGATGGTTTCGGGACACCGCGTACATAGAGGCCGTGCGCCAGCGTACGCGCGTGCCCGTGCGTGCGCGCGCGCGCGCGCGCGCGCTGGAGATCGTAAACAGGTTGTCCATCCGTCTCACTCCGACGCACGGGGAGCAGCGGCGTACGACGACGTCGTCGCGGCGGACCGTCGCGACGAATAGCGATCGCGCGCGCGTCCAGGGAAAACCCCGCGATCTCGCGGTGGCCTCCATTTCCACGTGGACGTCCCACGCGCGCGCGCGTATTTCCCACGAGAGGAGAGACTCCGGCTCGATCGGTGGGGACGACTGTCGCACATGTTATTATTATCGCGCGATTGTTACCACGCATACATGACTTATCGAATCGTCGCGCGGAAAATGTCATGTTTTCTTATAATCGTCAGTCAATCTCTGGGAAAGAGATTGACGAGGAAAATTAGTAATTTTTCTTCTCGCGAGCAAAAATGAATCACCCTTGAGCGATGTTATTTTTGAGAAACGCGCACTATTTTCAGCTCTATTTTCAATATTCGGTGAGTCTTATCTACTTGAATTTCATTACATCCGACAACTTTGTATTCGTACGAAAATAACCACCTTGCCTGTCATGTTTATTTTGGACAAAAGTTGACAATCATGAAATGCAATTAAAAACGATTTTTAATTACGCTCGTTAATTTTAACTTTTAAATTTAAAATTTAGAATCGATACAAAAATTACATTTCAGTTTTATTCTCGAAGTTTACCAGATGTCTTAAAATAATCGATTTTTTAGAACGAAAATGTAGAAAGAAGGTGCAATTGGATTTAGAATAATCAAATACATCAAGCAGGCAGCTCGTGAATGAAACTGAACAGTACCAGGAAATGGAGATAACAATTTTCCAAGTAATTTAACAAGTAATTTAAGAAATATAAATATACATTTATATTTCAGAGCAACAGCAGGGGAAACAGGCCCAACGTGACATGATGCAACTTTAGCGTTTCTCTTCTCAAGAATATGATTTTTCTCTCAAAATAAACGCATTACCCTGGCGTGGAGAAAACGCCCCATGAGAAAAAAAGATTTCACCCGTGGCATAACTTTCAAAGTGCATACGCGGTACAGAGAGACTATGAAATTACCCTAATTCATCCCAATTTGGTAACTCTATGAAATGTCAAATGCCGACAAGCGACAATTATAAATATTATATGTATATTATACTAATGCGCCATCCACATAATCCACGTCGAGATTACTTTTACGGTAATTTGCAACCAGTACATATCAACCGGTAGAGGGATATTAAAAGGCTAATTTTTATAGAGAAATACGCGAAATAAGTTAAATCACTTTATGACGTAATTCCACCGCTCGTACTAATTTTCTAATATTCTCCGCTCAGAATTCACGATGCTTCAAAATATAACACAAATAACGGAATAATGTACGAGAGATTGGTACATTAGTATGTCGCTTCTCACCCTGACTGCAATGTTCACGAAACGTTGGTCTTTAATCATGTAAATGTATTAACCTTTTGAAGAAAGTAACCTCAAAACGTTTGGAGACTTTTCCTGTCTCTGCACCGGACTGCACTAAACTTTTCTATCTCGCGTCGTCAAACTTCAAATATATATATATTTAATTTCAAGTTTTACAACGAACGTGCGAACATTAGTTGAGTTACAAAAAAAACAGACCAAGGTTTTCCGCGTGCCCTCCGCAAGATCGTCCGCCGGACGGGCAAAACTGCTCGTCGACGATTTTCCGCGTTCTACCTGGAAGACACTCCTTTCCTCACTCGATGGACGGCCTGCGGCGGAGGAGACGACGGCCAAGATCACCGAACGTCGAGCCGTCCCTGTTGCACACGCGAGCCTCGCATTCCACAGTGACGGCGGTGGCGGCGAGCGCGCGCGCGCGCGCACGCACCGGCCACACACACACACACACACAAACACACGTAACCACGAAAATACGTTAGCTTGCGCGCACACAGGTGCACACAGGTAGTGA